ACCGCTAGGTGCAGGGGGCGTGGCACCTCCCATACAAACCGAATATTTCATACTGCATATCTCTGGAAGTGTTCATGGTAGAGTACTCTAACTTGGTATGGAGATATATCAAACCAATCGCATACTCATGGAGAAAAATTGTGGTTATTGGCAAAGGGGGCGTGGCACCTCCCCTTCAAACCAATTTTTTCATACTGCATATCTCTGGAAGTGTTCATGGTAGAGTACTCTAACTTGGCATGGAGATATATCAAACCAATCGCATACTCATACAGAAAAATTGTGGTTATTGGAAGAGGGGGCGTGGCACCTCCCATACAAACCGATTTTTTATACTGCATATCTCTGGAAGTATTCAAGGTAGAGTACTCTAACTTGGTACAGAGATATATCAAACCAATCGCATACTCATGGAGAAAAATTGTGGTTATTGGAAAAGGGGGCGTGGCACCTCCCATACAAATCGAATTTTTCATACTGCATATCTCTGGAAGTGTTCATGGTAGAGTACTCTAACTTGGTATGGAGATATATCAAACCAATCGCATACTCATGGAGAACAATTGTGGTTATTGGAAAAGGGGCGTGGCACCTCCCATACAAACCGTATTTTTCATACCGCATATCTCTGGAAGTGTTCATGGTAGAGTACTCTAACTTGGTATGCAGATATATCAAACCAATGGCATACTCATGGAGAAAAATAGTGGTTATTGGAAAAGGGGGCGTGGCACCTCCCATAGAAACCGAATTTTTCATACGGCATATCTCTGGAAGTGTTCATGGTAGAGTACTCTAACTTGGTATGGTGATATATCAAACCAATCGCATACCCATGGAGAAAAATTGTAGTTATTGGAATAGGGGGCGTGGCACCTCCCATAGAAACCGAATTTTTCATACCGCATATCTCTGGAAGTGTTCATGGTAGAGTACTCTAACTTGGTATGCAGATATATCAAACCAATCGCATGCTCATGAAAAAAAATTGTGGTTATTGGAAAAGGAGGCGTGGCACTTTCCATAAAACCGAATTTTTCATGCTGCATATCTCTGAAAGTGTTCATGGTAGAGTACTCGAACATGGTATGGAGATATATGAAATCAATCGGATACTCATGGAGGAAAATTCGGACTATTTGAAATGGGGGCGTGGCACTTCCCATACAAACAGAATTTTTCATAATAAGTACCTCTAGAAATGTTCATGGTAGAGTACTGGAACTTTATATGGGCATGGCACCTCCCATACAAGTCGAATTTTTCTTATTGCATATCTCTATAATTGTTCTTGGTAGAGTACTGGAACTTGGTGTGGTGATATATGAAATTAATCGCATAGTCATGTAGAAAATATGGAGCTATTGGAAAAGGGGTCGTGGCACCTACCATACAAGCCGAATTTCATACTGCATATCTCTGGAAGTTTTCGTGGTACAGTACTGGAACACTTCGTGTGGAGATATATGAAATTAATCACATGCTCATTGAGAAAAAACGGCTCTTTAAAAAGGGGGCGTGGAAAATTAATCCGCCAGTTGGCGCTGGAGTTGAGTTAGTACTAAAAATTTTTTTATGATCCGATTTGGCGAACATTCAAAACATGTATTAGAAACGGTAAAGGCAGTCCAATTGCAAAAAAGAGCTGGTAGGTGGTGCTGAGGTCGAGTTACTACTAAAAATCTAAAAAGTGAAAAAAAGGTGCCGTGAATGTCAGACTAAATCGACCCGTTGCACTATTGAGTATATTGAACTCTCGTGTGTTACGATTGACCCAATGGATGTGATTTGCCAATAATATTATGCGTTAGAGCCTCATTCGAAGAAACCAGTGTTGAGTTGTGCAGTGGTAAATCTCAAATCACCACCTGTCTAAATACCTTAAAAGCCAGTTTCATGAAAGCAATTTAATGAAAATTTATTTATTTAGCTGAATTTAATATAGAACCTGACAGAAAAACATAATTCTTCACTTAAATTACTTTCGCGAAACTGGCTTTTAAGGTATTTCGTCTCAGTTTATGTATGTATATTATATTTCTGTTGAACAAGGATACGCATTGATATTGAAATTGCCACTAACTATAAGATAAAGTTCCTAGGGCACATTCACTATAGATCCGGCTCATTGTGCCCACCAGGGATCTTCTCATGGACATAACACTTTCGTTCGGTTATTTAAGGCGGCAAACGACCACCAAACGATAGTCTTAGCCGACGAATGTGCTGTACAAATCGTAAATGTGGATTGTTGGAGAAACTGTTGTACCAAAATGTTTAAATTAAAAATCTAATTTTGGGCGGGACGAAGTTCGCCGGGTCTGCTAGTTTTGTATAAAATTTGAAACCGTAAATACAATGGGCAATAAATACTGCCTAAAAGTTAGGAAAAAATTGTTTTTTTTTTTTGTTTTCCGGCCCCCCGCAATTCCATTCCATGCCATTGAAACTGTGATTTGTATGGTTTCGGTGAAAAAAATGTAGCTCGAAACATTACGAATATTTAAAAAATTAACACTTGGTCACTTTTTTGAGTCACTGTATATCTTGGGTGCTATAAGGTATAGTGGGTCTGCTTGGTTTACTGAGTTTTCAGTTATAAGTAGTTTCCCAAATATAGGCTTGACTTTCGACAAAGAAAAGAGAGTAGGCTTCAGTGGGACCACTCCGGCGTAAACGGCAAGCTGATGTCTGTTTTTTTTTTCATTTCTTCTAAAGCCTTCGCTGGGTTAAAATCACTTTAGCAGCGTCAACAGAATTTTTTCTTTCTGCTACCCAAATTGTTGCTGCCCTCCCCAATGTTGCAACGTGGCGTACGGATTTATTTACTCCTTTTATAGCATGCGCTCACCGATGTACATAAGCCTCAAAGCACTGCGGGACGTGCTGGCGTCTTTCGTCCAATCCAATATTTTACTGCAATGCAGTAAATAGTCGTTGGCGAGTGGCATTGGCGGGCGCTGACTGTAAATGCATGGCTTGCTGCACAAAAATAAAGTTTTTTCTTGTTTTTATAAAACGCTTGCATGTTTTTGTTTTTGGTATGCTTTGGTTCTTTTGTTGCTGTACATAAAAAAAAAAACAAAAAATACTTTGCCAGCATGGCTATGTGGAAAGCCTTTTAAAATACATAGTGATATTGTTCGTCGTCCCCCTTCTACCACATCCACACTAATTCTTGTTAGCTATTCAGCATCGTACAGCAACTCAGCGCTGCGGCAAAGCCTTTTTCAAGCCATTTTAAGCCGAATAACCAGTTTTTTCAGCTCAACCCAAGAAGTCGATTTGGGCATTGTGGACGTGTTTGATTAATTGTTGTTGCGTGTTTTTGTCTGTGCTGTTGTAAAGAACTTTACTTCAGAAAGTACGAAGCAAAGTCATGATGCTGTAAGATTGTTTTCGTGCAGAACAAGGTTTCAGTTTAGTTATGTTTTTATACTTTTTTCCATTATTACATTATGTACATTCCTTTTTTTTTGCTTTAATTATACCTTAGTTCCTTTTTTACGCTTAAACTGACGTTTTCCGGTTTTGTGCTTAAACTTCTGTACAGATTTTCTGGTAATATTTTTGTATTTTCTCGACTTTTCATAAGCCTTCAATTATTGTCTGAATTTGCGCTTTGGGTTAGCATTTTCAATTTATATATGTATGGATGTTCTCGTAAGTATTTATAATTAAAATATAATACATAATACTATTGAGTTAGGTTATGAAAAAGCAAAACGAACCGGAAGTTGAAAAAGATATTGAGTAGCAAGTGTGTAACTTAGTGTTTCGCCAAGCTACTCCCCAATTTTTGCTGTGTACCGTCATATTGAGCCTTATCGTGAGTTTTATTTTCGCCCGAAATCGTTGAATTTTCTCTTACTAAAAAAAATTCAATAAAATATTAAACCTTGCAAGCTGTATAAAAAATTTACCGCGTTTTTAAAAAAACTAAATCAATTTTCCAAAAATTTGTTGTTACCTCATGATAAAATTTGGAAAACTTCAACCAATTTTTTTAATTTTTTTTTTTTTATTTCAAAACATAGCCTCAGGTATAATCATTATACCCTAGAAGCTTAAGAGTGGGATCTGCATTAGTTAGGGAGATAAGTAAATTTGTGCACATACACCTCGCACTGGGGTATGATGTTAAGCGCTTCTTTATAGCGTCCGGTTCAGGTGAAGACGACATTTAATAAAATGAAAATGTAGGAAACTATATTCTATGAACTTGAAACTCGAAAAAAATACTTACCCGTTTTTTTAATTCAGAAATATCAGCTTCCGCTTACAGTGAACCGTAATATACTGAAATCCCTTTTCATGAAAAGCTGAATAACTCAGTCAGTTTCCAACTGATTGTTGAAAATGAACATTCACTTTTGCTCGCTGTTAAACATACTCTTTAAATCATTTCAGGGCTAGTATGATTGCTTCATAGAATAGTGCGTAAAAATATCACGAAAGTTGAAAAAAGGCAAAAAAAAGTTACGAAAAATTAATTTTGCTGGGCGAATGCACACAGATCTCTTAAGTTTTATAGATTAACTGAATACCATTCGAAAGGCCTACTTTTTTTTCTTTCTATAAGCGGTAAGAAACTGAACTGATCGGTAGCTAGTCAATTGGCGCACCATAACCATAACTTTTACCTTAACCGTAACCTTAACCATGACCATACCCATAACCATAAACATAACCAAAACCACTACCACTAACATAACCATAACCATTAACCATAGATACAACCATAAGCATTAACCATAGATACAACCATAACCATAATTATAACCATAACCATAAGAATTACCATAACCATAGCCTCAAACGTAACCATAACCATAATCTCAACCGTAACCATAAACATAACCTTAGCCTTAAACTTAACCTTGACCTTGACCATAACCATAGCTATAGCCAGGAATATAACCGAAAGAATAAAAATTTCCACAACCATAATCATAACCATGACCATGACCATAACCATTATCAAAGCCATAACTATAAATTTAAGCATAACTGTGACCTTTGTCATAGCCACAACGACTACCACAACCAAAACCATAACCGTGACAATGGCCATAACCATAACTATAACCATAACCCCAACCATAATCATAGTCATAACCATAGCCATAACCATAAGCGTAACCATAAAAAAGGTCATAACCATAACTATAACCATAATCGTAGCCATACAGAGGGCCATAACCATAATGATAACAATAACCATAACGACTACCACTACCATTACTATTACCATTACCATTACCATAACTATTACCGTTACCACCCACCATGATTACCATAACAATTGCTCTACCATTGCCATTTCCATTACCATTATCAATAACATTACCATTGCCATTACTATCAACATTACCATTACAATTACCATTACCCTTGCTATTACAGTTACCACTATAATAACCATAACAATTGCTCCACCATTGCCATTTCCATTACCATTTTCATTACCATTACCATTGCTATTACGATTACCCTAACAATTTCCACGACCATTGCCTTTAAATCATCACCATGACGATTGCCAGCGTTAACCACTTTCATGCTTTTTACCTTCTCCATTCCAAACTTCCTACTTTTTCAACATCTCTTCAATTTTGAAACGTTTAAAATTGTGTTCTGCTTACTGAGTACCAATAAAACATATTTACAAGCTTTATATTAATTAAACGTCATTTACGCGGAACACTTATACATACATACTACCATGCCAACTTGTCACTATGACACACATAATATTTATATCAACTCAACACGCAGTAAGCTGGTAACCCTTTGTTTACGAGTATTTACCAGTGACTAATTAATTAATCATTAAATACATATCAAATCAACATCAACATTATCTACCCTCCACTCAAATATCTAAAAGCGGTATCTATACATTTTAATAAACTACCCATGAAATTTGAATTACAATACATACATATATACATATGTACATCAACCGAAGAGAAGTGTTGTACTCGCCCTCGAAATTCCTTAAAGTCAATGGTTTGCGCACACTTTTAAAATGCTAAAACCATTAAATAAATGAAATTTTGATATCCACACCTCGGAAGTGTAAACAAATAAGGGAGGAAGTAAAATAAGGAACAGTGCATACACTGCAGCTAACCAGAAGCAACGAATTTTTGATATGTAGACACCAATCACCAGGGGAGGAAGAAGCATGGAAGTTCGCAAGTGCAGCAACCCCTCCAACGTGTGTTAAACACACTTCCGTTTAAAGGAGCACTTCGCGTTTCAATGCTGAATGGCGCTTTGTTGTCAAAGAGCGCAGGTCAACAAGCCACTAAGGGTAAGTTGCTGACTATCACAACTCAAGGGTGAGTAAGTATGTGGTGCGCACAAGTCGGAAGTGACTGCCAGTGGAGGGTGAAATGCTTTGTATTGCTTGGATGCCCAATTACGGAAGTATATAGTTAGGGAAGTCACTACATTCACCTGTTAACTGATGGCGCTAATATTGTTGACGGAAGGATGATGTATGTATGTATGTACCTTCTCTGTGGAATCGTGCAACAAGTGAAATTGCGGAAGGTCAATTTATGAAGGAATTCGATATGGGATTTCTCATCAAAATTATGAATTAATTAAATTGGATTCGTTTGGCTTTGTTATTAGGTCTATCACTTCTATTTGTTGGAAATAGGTTAATCAAATCAATGGAAATCAGGACTCCCACAGAGGCATCTTTGCCCATTGTGAATGCTCTCTATGAGTGCCAGGAGGAGGAGCATGACACTCCCCGGTGTTATATCAAAGTATCGGTCCGATAGTTTGACATCCGATATTCCTAGTGTTTGAGTCACCTTATATGGAGAGTTGGGGTGGATATAGGATATTGTAAATCGGTTCTTCTTCTTCTTCATCCCGACCATTTTTTACAGTGTGCTCGTCAATGTTCCACAGCCTCGCTGTCCTGTATTTGACGTGTTTCAGTGATCCTAGCTATGCCCGAATTTCCCGAATATTAATTGACTTCACTACTTTGCATGCTAAAGCTTAAGCTTTCAATAAGATTGCTCTATTTCAAAAATATTTTGTAAAACAAATTTAATTAACAAATTAAATTGTGGGTGTCAAACGGCACAAATTCTAAACCGATTTGTTTTGAAATTCTTTTGAAGAAGGTAGCTAACTGTTAAAAATATTTCAATCAATTTAATTGACCAGCTGAATGAGATATTTTATCTGAAGCGAGGTTTAAGAAAGCTTTTATTCGAAAATGATTTTTAATAGGGTTGCCACCTGTTTCGTAGCTCAAAATTAATTTAATCAACAAGTTAAATGAAATTTGTTATATGAGAATCAAATCGATGAGAGGTCTAAGATAGCTTAATTTCAAGGACATTTTTGAAGAAATTTACCACCTGCTTCCAAATTCAAGATAAATTTTGTGACAAGTTAATTGAGCTATTGTTAGATGGATGTCAAAGGAGAGAGGTTTAAGTAAGCTTTGTTTTTGGAATATATTTGAATGGGGTTACCACCTGTTTGGAAATTCAATTTTGAATGAAGTTTAATTAAAAAGTCTCAAAAAATATTTTAATATGCGTGTCAAGCGAGGGAGGCTTATGAAACCCTAATTTCGAAGATAGTTTTTACGAGCTATTCCGGCTATTTTGGAAGTCAAAATAACTATAATTAACAAGCTAAAATAGATACTGTGTATGGGGAAGAGGATTGCCACCTTTCAAAATTAGTTTGATTAATAAATTAAATTATGGGTGTCAAACTAAAGGGATTTTAAAAGGATTTATTACGAAATAATTTTGAAAAGGGTTGCCACCTCTTAAAAATATTTAAATCGATTTAATTAACCAGTTAAAAGAAATATTTTTATCTGGAGTGAGGTATAAGAAAGCTTTATTTCTAAAGAGATTTGTAATAGAGTTACCACCTGTTTGGAGTACAAAATCAATTCAATAAATAAACTTAATGGAATATTTTAAATGGAAAACAAATCAGTGAGAGGTCAAAGAAAGCCTAATTTCCAAAATATTTTTGAAGAAGGTTGCCACCTGTCTCATAGTTCAAGATCAATTTTATTAACACGTTAAATGAGTTCGTTATAAAAATACCCGATATAAATTTTCTTATGACACCCTTTGGCTGCAGCCACTCATCGATAACTATCAATTGCAAAAGTGAGCGCGAAAATTACTAAGTTTATAAAGCAAAACACAGAAACAAAAACATTTTATTGGGTTTTCTTTGCAAACGTGAAAAAGTTGAATAGGAAAAATCAATATGCATACACATACAGGAATCAATAAAGATTGCCAAAAACAAAGCATAAATGTAGAAAATTGCACAAAAAGTCGGCAAATCGATGGGTCGCCAACAACTCTAGCGAATACTCGTACGTGCAACAACTTGCAATAATGACATTTCGCCTTGAACTTGTAACATTGGCTGTTGTTGTTGATAATGTGGCTGCAATGCGGTGAATGTGGTTGCTGTGGCTTGGTTGATGAAACATGTCGATGCTGGCAGGCAACTTCGATACGCGAAAAGTGACTAGTGGCTGGTGACTGGTGACTGGTGTCTGCTAGTGGAGGTGCAGCCAAAGCCAAATCAGCAGCAGCAGCAGCAGGCCAGCCACCAATTCTGGGTTTGCCAAGCAACGCATTGCAATGCAGTGATTGTCGAGAGTTGAATGAGAGTAGTTAATGTGATTACTATTGCTGCTGTATTTGTTGTTGTGTGCTTATGCTTTTTTTCATTGCATAAGTCAAGTGGAAATGATCTGCAAATGCTACGAGAACTTGTGTACATATGTATGTATATTAGACTGCATCAGTCCCCATACAAAAAAAAACGGTACTCATTTTCCATTGTAATTATAAAATCTATTATATTTTAAGACGTCCATCAAAATATTTCGGAAAAATATTAAGATTTAAGCGAGCTGGACCGATTTGACAATACCTCCAAAAATGGAGTGTTTATGAGTCCCCTCAAACAAAACGGTTTAAGCTTAAAAAATTTACATAAGAATATTTAAAAAAAAACTAAAAAAATTTTAACGGAATCGTAATAACAAAATTTTTGATGCTGTTTTTTAACTTTTTTCAAAGATTGTTATAAGAACAACTTGAATAACTGAACCTAAACTCTTCTGATTTAGACTTGTGAGGTATCAATGAAAAGGTATTTGCTCACCCTTTTTTTTGCTAATTAGCTCTTTAAAAGAATGAAAGAGTTTTTTTTATGAATAAAAAACGAATATCATTCAAAGTTGAATTAAGACGTGTTGGTATTTGAAAAAAATATTGGGACACGCATGACTTTTTTTTGCATATAAATAAAAAAAATTGTCTGAAAATACCTTTCTACCGAGATCCCATAAGTCTAAATCAGAATAATTTTGGCCCAGGTATTAAAGGTTTTCGTAAATCAATCTTTGAAAAAGGTTAAAAAACATCATTATTACGATTCCGTTGAAAGGATTTTTAAACATTTTAATGTAGGTTTTTTAATCCTTATCTGTTTTGTCATCTGAGGGAACTTTTTTCAAAAAGTTCTTTAAGATACTATTTTTATTCATAAAAAGCTCCATTTTTTTGGTGAACGTCTTAAAATATAATTGATTTTGTAATCCCGGTGGAAAACCCGCTTTTTTTGATGATGCAGTCTAATGTACATACACGTATAAGTACTTCTGCCTGCATCGATGCACCCATTTTGGTCGAGTCGCGCAAGATGCCTTTGCGAATGCCTAACTAAAACTTGATTTTCTACCAACTACTCGTGTCGCTGGTAGTGCCATAGCAGCTGTTGCTTATAATATGCTACGTGTTGCTTTTGTTGTTATTGCAGATTTTGTTGTCATTCTTGCTATTAATGGCTCAGCAGCCTAGGTTTTGCGGTTACTGTGAAATGTTGTTGCTTAAGAAGATGCGCTGTGTTTGTAGACTGACTGGCTGTCTGATTGTTAATAGCAATATTTCACTGTTGTTGGTGGTTTTGTTGGAGACACAATTTTATTTTCTGCAACATGCAACAGGTGTACAATTTAAATGGTTTTCTTTAGACGAGTTCTCTGATCATGTTTTGATTTTTGCTCATCTTTGTTATTGTTGTTCAAAAATACTGATAGTAAGGGGAATAACTAATTGCCGCAAGCCAGAGTGCATACGCTCTATAAGGTCATTAATGACGATAATATTACTATGCAATAACTTACTAGTTGCAAGGTAATAGTAAAGAAGTTAAGCCTGAACATTTTAAAGACTAAAAATGTTGTAACCAGCGTTCGGTGATAATGGTAATATGAGTACTCATATGATTCTCAGCTGTCTTGTAGGGTAAGGTTTGCCGCATACAGAAGGAGGCTTCTCATTGTCTATGTGGAGCTGACTGTCGAAGAAGATGAAAACTGATTTGATTCCGTATGCCGTTGCGCAATATTTCCGCCCTGGATGACCAAAACTTCCGCTTGATATTCTCGCACTGCAGTGGTCGGGGAGTTGAAAAGTTGTTTGTAAATTATGGTGCATCACTCTCCGTAAAAACAAGAATTTTATACTGTTTGTTTCCAACGTAAATATAAA